CAACCCCCCGCCCCCGGTCTCTTCCTCTTACGCTCTGTCTCTCTTACCTTCGCTTATCTCGCTCCGGCGTTTGTCTTGTTTTATCTCTCTCCACTCTACTCTGTCTCGGCCATCCCCATTTCGTATTTACCGCACACAGTGTGACCTTTACTTTACACTGCGGCAGTCCTTGCGGCAACAGCATTGCATTGCATTGCGTTTGATGTCCCGTCACCGGACAAGTTGCACACGAATCTCCCTGTGTGATCCGCTAACAGAAGTGTGTGATGTTTACTTATAAAGTGCGTGACAAAATGCATCACGCAATGCCAGAGCTATCACACAAAAGAGTTTGTGACTGTGACAACGAATCTCACAACCGGGTCACACACTCTTATGGCTGTATCACTTTTCCATGCATGACTAAGCGGTCCCGTCCTGGTCTGACATTTTTGCACCCTTCTTTCAGCGTTGAATATCACACTTTTCCATTTGTACACTGGAAATGCAAGTGTGTGAATATCACTCACCCGCAGGTGTGTGAATATCCATTCATACACTTAAAGGGGTAAACGTAAAAATTCACACCTTTATCCCTCTTAAGTGTACGAATTTATATTCACACACCTGCAGGTGAGCGACATTCACACACTTGCATTTTCAGTGTAGAGTGTGTACATGGGGATCACCTCTTGCTTCGTCTGTCTGTTCCTCCCCGACACCAAGGACGCCCTGAGCACTCCGCCGCTGCCGCTTTCCTGCCTGACAAAGTTCATATCTTTTAACGCTGTTTTCCGACCCATCACTTCTACTTATATTACAACTCCTGGCAAAGTCTTCAAAAACTTAATAATGAAAACTTTTGGGGAAGGTCTATGTTATTATGGTTCGCGCGGCAGCGTGGAGGTGAGGGTGGGGAGGGGGGGGGCTTGTTGTAGGAGTTACAAGTTCCTGTGCGGAGAGGTGTTCGGGGTAAGGTGAAAGGGAACAGGGGGAGGAGGAGGAGTCGTGAGGAGGCCAGGAGGGAGGGGCGCGGCACACGCCTCTCAACTTGCAAAGAGTGAGCATTATTCAGAACCGCGGAAGAGTGGGAAGTTACCCCGCATCGCCCGCCCTCTCTCCACCCCCACCCCCCTGCTCCTCTTCTCTCTTCCCGAACCTTGTTTCTGTCCTTTCATTACACTATCCCCTCTGCACAAGTCATGCACAGGAGCGGCTCTATCGCTGCGCTGTAGATACAAAGAAAAATACTGGTAGCATGAAAGTGAATTTATGAAGAAAATGAAATTTACGACATTCCCTCTTATATTTTGATTACGAAATGGCAGTGTGTATAGCTGCGCACTTTGCATGTATAATCCACAAATTAGCTGGCGAGGTTATGCAAAATGAGAGCACAAGTGCGCCTCATGGCTGCTTTACCCCGGGTGATGGAGGAAAGACACTGGCGTAAAAACTAGCTGAATGAAACGGCAGGTGGCGGCAGTGCTTCGTACAGCTTGTGCGTTCAGACGGGCTCTCCTCCCCCCCCCCCCTTTTCCTCACCATCCTCGCCACCTTCTGGCCCCCCCCCCCCCCCCCCCCTTTCTCCCCGACCTCCGCGTCCTTTCGTGCCCCTGCACCACCCCCAGCAGGTTTTATTAGGAAATTCCTGAGTGGTTGGAATGCCTGTTCGACTGTGTAGGACCGTGGGACTCTGGGACAGAGGGACACCCACCTCTCTCTCTCTCTCTCTCTCTCTCTCTCTCTCTCTCTCTCTCTCTCTCTCTCTGTCCCACTCTGTTGCGTAGACTCTCAGGCCGATACCCCTTTCCAAAACCTGTTAACTACTGTGAAGGAAGTTTTAAGCAGTCGCTTTCGCGAAATTTTTTGTTTCAATTTTAGTCATTTTCGCAAACGTCGCTCGTTTAGAGTCGTTTTTACGTTGCGACATTTTCGGTTACGAAGAAGTCTCATATTGAGTCATTTCGCAAAAATGATGAACCCATACGTCGCTCTATTCGGGCAAGAAAGCTCGCTCTTTGTTTTACAGTGTGACGTGTTATTTGTTTTTCCCCTTTTCTACGTTATTGTGGCCGAGGTTCTTCTTGCAATTGTAATGAAGGGGTTTATTTATTGATGGGGTGGCGCGAGGCGTGATCGACAGTTTAACCGATCGACTTCGCCGATGCATTTTGATTGCGATTGCGATTTGATGCGCCCCGCTTGGCCTGACCGTAATTGGAGGAAAGAACGCTGCTTTGTCTGCGTTTTTTTCACGTTTTACTTTATTTTGCATTTTTCTTTGTTTTATTTCATTTCCCTTCTCCGCACTCGCGTCGATTGTATTCCGTCTCGTTCCTTTTTTCTCATTTTCCGTTTTTGTTTTCTCTTTGTTTCCAGGAGAAAGAGGCGGAACTTTAGCAAGCAAGCGTCTGAGATCCTCAACGAGTATTTCTATTCACACCTCAGCAATCCGTACCCCTCGGAGGAAGCCAAGGAAGAGCTGGCGAGGAAATGCAGCATCACGGTTTCACAGGTAAATACCTCCTTGTTTTAATTTCTTTGTACTTTATTTTGTTCCGTAAAATTCTCTTTTACGGGAAAAGGCGCGCACATTTAAAGGCTGTTTCTGTTCATGGACCTCTTATTCTCCGTGCTAATTAATGAAATCTCTTTATAACAAACATGTAGTGATACCCTGTCCCAGCAAGCTAGGCCAAACCTCAATCGGATCGTCGTCGAAACAATTATGAAAACATTCTCGAAATAGCACGCGCGGTATATACTTTTTTGCTTGTAGTGTGATTCCCAAATCCAAATGGACAGTGGGACGGCGCCCTTCCTTGGATGTCTATTAAGGCCTGCTTTGGGCTCCTTGCGCGGCCCTGGCTGGCGCCCGGCGCTGCGGCCTCCCCGCGTTATAAAGAAGGCCGTGAGCCCTGCGGGCGCGGGGTGGGCGGAGGGGATATTGAAAATGAAAATCCGATAAAAATAGCAATTAAGATTGGAAGCGAGCAATTAGCCGAGGTGGCCGGGGGGAAGG